GTCAAGGTCAGGTCAAGGTCAGGTCAAGGTCAGGTCAAATTAGGTTAAATTTCAAAGTTGATGTTTTTGCATAAAATGGGTATCGATTCGATGCAGCTCGTCACGGAGAGTTCAATGGTCGTCTCCGTTTTGCGCTACGAGGTCTAGAACTACTAAAAATTGAGTTCAAATATTTGACGTCATCAATTTTTAACATTTGTTTCGCTATAACTTGCCAAAAAAGAGGTATCGATCTAAAATTTGGTATGTATATCGAAGAGCGCAGGGACTATCACATATATTCCGGTTTTTCAAAATTCGAAAAAAAAAATGGAAATTGTTTGAGTTTTTCTTTTTAAAAAAATCATTTTTTATTTTTGGGGGTCAAAATCCCAAAATTTCGAAAATCCGAGATAGCAGTTTTTAGCGCCCTCTTTTCTCTACACAACCACATAAAGAACTTTAACCCTCGCCAGCACATGCCATTTTCCCATCCTAGAACGCACATGGGGGGGGGTTGCCACCCCCCCGCGCCATTTCGTTCCTGTTGGAGATAGAGCTTAGCGGTAAAGACCAAAAAGATTCTTTGGGAAGAGACGAATCCAATGATACCCAGTTTTACCTTCTCAGGTCAGTCATTGACCTTCCAGGTCAGGTCAAACTAAAAAATGTTGCTATTTTGGGACAACGTTGGATATCAAGTGCGCTGCTTACCATGAACCGATGACGATGCTGTTTTCTGGTGCCAAGCCAGCTAGAACCTCTTTGTCACACTACCCGACCAGATTTTTGCTGCTGAGGTCATGTCAGGTCAAGTTAGGTCAAGGTCAGTAATATGTGTTTGCATGTCTGTGTGTGTGTCTGTGTGTATACTTATGTGTGCACCGATTGTTTTTGTGTCCATATTACATGAAATCATGATCTGAGAAGCTTTTACCAAAAATGTAGTCAAAAAACTTGACAAAAAGTAATTTCCGCTTACCTAAAACGCAATTATCTTAGATGACCTAGGTTGACCTTGACCTTGACCTTGACATCTGTACATCGTCGAACAACATGTTCCATGATAGTTGGGAGGTAAGACTGGCAAAAAAGGCCGAAATCAAGGTGTCAAAAGCTCACAAGGCCCATAGCCAGCGCAAGATGTTGAGAATTGGCCATTTGGGTCATGACATGACCTGAAGAACAAGGTCATATCTCCGAAACCAAAAATCACAGAAACTTGAAATTTTCAGTGGACATCAAGAAAGGATAGAGGAGCAGCTATACGAAAAATCAGCCTTCTAGCTCTAAAAATGTTGAGTGCAGAGCAGAGGGACTACCTGGGGGGTGGCAGCCACCCCCCCCCCATGTGCGGGCGAGGGTTAAAATTGCTTGTTAACTGTAGAATTGGTGAGCGTTTCAAGATGTCATGTTTTTTGCTCATTTTTACTCGAACATGACCTCAGTTTGACCTCAATAACTCCTGACCTGAGGTGACCTGTGACTTGAAATTTTGTGTGAAGGTGTCAAATTGATGCCCGGTAAGGTACCGAAAATTTGGCGGCGCTGCGCAAAGCCGTTTTCTCGCTATTTAAGAAAAACCACAGGGGGCCAAAATGGCCCCCCATCAGGGCGCGGGTTTTGACGATGGGTATCGCGGGGTCAAATAACATCTTTCTGGGTCCGCCAGTGACCCAGCATACTAGGCATAAGTGAGACATTACAATGAGCGCAAATCATTGTCCATCTCACCGTTCAACTCAAAGGTGAGTGCGCTGCCTTACGCCGGCAGTCGGCCGGTCTGCCGGGCGGCCCATGACAGGCGCGTGACATTCCTCGTGCCGCCCTTCAGCCGGCCGGCGCCGCGTTCCAGGCCGCCGGCCGCCATCTGCGCGCCCGGCGGCCCGCACGTGCCGCCGGCGTCCCCCGTCGGCCGCGTCGAACCCGACGCATTCACCATCGTCGGCGGCGACGCCGGACGCGCATTCCTGGCGTTCCTGGCGCGCCGCAGTGGCCGCCGACGCCGCCTCTGCACCTGTCCCCCCTCCGTCGGTGCGCCGCGCCGCGCCGCACTGAGGGGGGGGGGGGGGTGGGCGCCGGGTCCGCCGCGCCGGGGCTCCGGAGGTGGTCGGCCGACAGCTGGCACCGGGAGCACCCCACACCTGCTGGGACCCCGCTGAATGCCTCGCTGGTATTTAATTGTAAGGGGAAACGGTGTGGGAACCGTGAGGTCGGTGAGGTGTGGCTGCTCTTGCTCTTGTTATCGGCTGACTCGAAGTGCAGCAGAAGCTAAATTTTAGTTTTTGATACATCAATCAAGTGACAGATGACAGTAAATTGGAATATTAACCACGTGTGCTGGTCTGCAGTGATGTTTTTATCGACAACAAAGAGGGTCTGGTGGGCAACGTTTAACCCTCGCCCGTAAACGGCGATCTGCCACCTTCGCCCATGCAGGGGGGGGGGGGGTTGGTGCGACCCCCCCTTGGCGTTTGAAAACGGAGCGTCGTAGAGCTTAGCGGAAAAGACCAACGGATTGCTCTCAACGAGATCTCGCGATTGGTGGTATATTTTTTGGTCCTAGGTCAACATTTGACCTACTTTTGACCGGTCAAAGGTCAAATTTTCGGAAAAAAATCAAACTTTTTCAACTTTCCGCGGCGATTGCGGCAAAACGGTGGGAGATATCGACTTGAAACCTTCACTATCGTGTTCCTTGATCAATTCTCTATCGTTTGGTATGTATTTCGTTTCCCTAGCTCTAAAAATGGCGCGTTGGGAGCGCCGGAAGTCGGCAAGGTCACAGTCGGCGGCAGAAATTCGAAAAATCAAAATTTAAATTTTTGAAATCTTATTGTATTTTTGGATTTGGGAGGTCCATTTGCTCCCTATAGAAGCTAATATTGCTGCATATTCCCATTGAGGTGACAAGAATTAGCAAAATAGTGGTTCGGGCGCTTTTCAAAAATAGTACCGGACGCTGTTCCTCTTGTGACGTCATAGCTCCGTGACCTGACCTGACCCGGTCAAGTTTCTTATACCATATGATAGCCAATACTTGCCCCAACATGCATGGGAAGTTTCATCACGATCCATCAACCGATGTCCGTACCACCGGCAGGAAACCTCGGGCGTTGGCACTCAGTTTGTGAAAATCCGGCCGGAGGCTGTTCCCTTTGTGACGTGATAACTCCGTGACCTGACATGACCCGGTCAAATTTTTTTATCAAAAGATGCGCAAGGTTTGCCCCATAAGGTACCCAAAATTTGGCGGCGCTGCGCGCCGCCGTTTTTGCACTATTTTCGAAAAGCCTCAGGGGGGGGTTGCACCAACCCCCCCCCCCCTACATGGGCGAGGGTTAATTAGCATTCCTGCTGACAGGATGCGGACAATTTATTCCTCAGATGGGCAAAAGTAGCAAATGTTTGTGTTTAGCTTAGCCATACCTTATATTTTAGAAAGTACAAAGTGGCCATTTCTGATTCACGTCTCTGCAAGATTCTGTTCTGTCCTAGGTTTGGTCATTTTTTTATATAAATGGCTGTAAGCATTCATTCGGAATGCCAGCGTTTCTTGCAAGTGAGTGAAATGGTCAAGCCGGGTCCGCGTGAAGTTCCAGTGTGACATGGTAACCTCAACAACAGCCTCCCAATGAACAGTCCGCCTCCGCAGAATAATCCATCTGAAGAAATGATATATCCGAATCAACCAGCATGCTCTACTTCTGGGACTAGTTCCCATATCCCTTGAATGGGAACGTTGAAACGTTTTTAATTTTGATTGACTATTGTTATTTTCAGGCTCCATTGCGAGCGCTCCTGGGATTAAAAACGCAATCAATTATTTTTCTGCAGTGGAAGGGATCGGGCGATGAGTCCAACTGATATGGGAGCGAGCGCGAGCGTGGGAAAGTAGTGGGACTCATGGGGGAATAGTCGGTCAGGGGCTGGAGCCAGCTCGAGAGAGCGAGAGAGAGAGAGAGAGAGAGAGAGAGAGAGAGAGAGAGAGAGAGAGAGAGAGAGAGAGAGAGAGAGAGAGAGAGAGAGAGAGAGAGAGAGAGAGAGAGAGAGAGAGAGAGAGAGAGAGAGAGAGAGAGAGAGAGAGAGAGAGAGAGAGAGACAGACAGACCGACAGACAGACAGACAGACAGACAGACAGACAGACAGACAGACAGACAGACAGACAGAGAGGAAGGGAGGGAGACAGATGATTAGGCATGGAGAGAAATAAGAGATACCTACGAAGAAATGTGTTCAGCTAACAACAGCGTAATTTAAATCACTCGGAGGTGAAAAGTATAAGGATAAGTTGTGGGTAGGTACTAAGCAAAACTAACTGGTTTTCAATCACAACTGACGACGCAGCCGATCATTTTTCCGCGACTTCTGTGCAAGAGGCGATATAGGTATATCACTTCGGCTACCCATTGGGCATCGCTTGGGGCACCGCAAACCCCAGCCGAATCATGACCGTCTTGCTGAGGTGTGGCAGCAGCTCGTATCGGATGGATGCGTGGACTCCAGCATATTAGCATAACACCGCCTGATCGAAGTTCTCAGCAGTCTGAAAATAAGACTGGGTCGAGGGGAGACCTTTTGCTGCAGTTTTAATGGAATCAGAGCACTGCGCCGGGCTCTGGGCGGCAGTTCGGGCCACGCACTGTGAGCTGAGAGTGAGACCGTGCCGGACTCTGGGCGGCAGTTCGGGTCACTGTGAGCTGAGAGTGAGACCGTGCTGGGCGGCGGGAGGCGGCCGGCCGCCGGGCTTCCGCCGTCCTCGGCCAGTCTCAGTGTCACGACGCGAGGCACGTGCCGCCACGACGGCGGCACGGGCACGACGAGCGCCGGCCGGCCGCAGCCACGCTCCGAGCGTAGGACGGCACCTCCTAACGAGCGGCACCGCGCCGCGCCGGAGCCGCGCCGGAGCCGCGCCGCTCCCACGCCGCCGTGGGAACGCCGCCGACGGGGGCGGCGCGGCGGCGCGCGCATGCGCCCTGGGGCCCGTCGGCGGCCGCCCGAGCGGCGGTCGGTCGTGTGTCAGACGCAGGGCGGCTTCCGTCGACGGCGGACACGACACGTGACCTCCCGGCGACGTCGGCGGCGACGACACGTGACCGTCAGCCATGATCAGTATGAAGCGCTCGGTGAGCGACAGCGACTGCGAGGACGCCTTCACCGACGACTGCCGAGAGTGAGTGCCTCCGCCGAGCCGCCGGACAGGACCGCACGGCTCGCTGCCGCTGGTCTGTCCTCTGCCGGTCTCTAGTTTGGCCACATGTGTTTGGAACAGATCTGGCCGGGTGCTCTCGGTAGAGAAGCCTGTTATTGGTCACTGATACATCCCTTTTGCTCTCATGGATGATTTCAGCCATCTCTAGCTTAGAGTATTAGGAATAAATTGGTTGATTGATTCATGCCCTCTTCTGGTAGTTGCCGCATCAATCTAGCCGTGCGGATTATATGGACTGCTGCCGTTATTGTGCCGCACCGGGCTGTGTACCGTACCGTGTTTTGTCTGCAGCCAGTTATACTATGTCCATGTCGTCTGACCTGCCCTTCCTCTGCCGCAGTGAGCAGTCGGGTGAGTTTGGCACCCACCGCAAGAGGCGGCGCGGGGTGATCGAGAAGAAGCGGCGCGACCGGATCAACAACTCGCTGGCCGAGCTGCGCCGCCTGGTGCCCACCGCGTTCGAGAAGCAGGGCTCGGCCAAACTGGAGAAGGCAGAGATACTCCAGATGACCGTCGATCACCTGAAGGTGCTGCACGCCAAAGGTACGTCAACTTAGTCCGCAGGCGCATGGCCTCGGGATACATATGATCACGGGCATTGGCTTTGTGCATCTCATACCCTTGATGCTGCTACTAGCTTCGCCACGTCAATAACTTTCTGAACGCATTATGTCAGTTTTGCGTTGTGGGTACTCGCGAATATGATTCTGTTGTCACGCCGATATTCTTTGACTGCAACTAAACCGTTTTACGTGTAGATGTCTAGACATCTGAACAGAACGCCGTGGCATTCCTACTCTCCCCTCAGCCGTGATGACTTCCAGTGAGCTGACTGATATCCTTTCTCCCCCCGTGAGAACCTGTTTCCTCCCCACTCTCCCCATTGTGAGGACCTGCCCCTCCTCCATATTGTGAGGACCTGTCCCCCGGCTGGCCGCTCGGCCCGGTGTGCCCGGGGAACTGGGACGGTCCGTGGGCGGCCATCTGTCCGGCCTTCCGGCGCCCCCGGCCATACATCCGCCCCACACACACCGGCGCTGGTGGCGTCCAGTGGCTCCCGGTGGTCAGGTGCGGGCTACCCCCGACCCTCTCCGCTCCCTATTAGTCCAGGTATTCAAGGATTATCCGATAGGCGGGACGGAGTACTGTCGGTTAACACATCACTTGTGTCACATTAAACTGATTAGTTAATAGTTTGGTGAGAACTAAGAAGTGTTCTGTGCTTTGAAAGGTGCTGAAAAATAGTTTTGAGTCAAAGGTATAGGGTTGTTAATTGTTATTTTTGGCATACCTATTTGGATTTCGATTAACGATACCGTTACCCAAAAATTATTTTATCTCCATAGTCCATCGTTCCTTTAATAAAGGAAACATTTTTTCTCGATTTTTATAGCATAAGTGATCAATATTATTTGCCCATTGCAATTACCTATTCATTCGACTCCTCCTCGCGGCTCCATCGTTACTAAACGGTGCGTACGTCCCTATGCCCCGCTGGCGGCTGGGTCGGTCGGGTCACAGGACGGCGCACCGCCGCGGCCCTTTGTGCGCCCGCCGGCGGCCGTTCCCACGTGCGCTGCGCCGGCAGCTATCAGGCTCGGAGCGGGCAGGTGCCGCCGCCGCCGCCGGCCCGGCGCTATGAATGGAGCCGCCGGGACAGGCCGGGACCGCTCGACGCTGACCCGCTGTCAGTGACGCGTGGGGTGAGCCCAAACGGTGGGAGTCACGGCGCTGAGCTCACGGGCTGAGACTAAACTGACGGCGCGCGGTCGCAGAGTCGTCTCGTTTGCGGTGGACGGCTGACCACTAACTGTCCGCCTGCCGTCCGTCCCGTGCCGTCCGTCCCGTGTCGGGCGCCCCCCATCCGTCCCGTGTCGGCCGGGTGTCCGTCCCGTGTCGGCCGGGTGTCCGTCCCGTGTCGAGCGGCTATCCGTCCCGTGTCGGACGGGTGATTGTCCGTCCCGTGTCGGCCGGGTGTCCGTCCCGTGTCGGCCTGCCGTCCGTCCCGTGTCGGACGGGTGTCCGTCCCGTGTCGGGTGATTGTCCGTCCTGTGTCGGCCGCGTGTCCGTCCCGTGTCGGCCTGCCGTCCGTCCCGTGTCGAGCAGCCGTCCGTTCCGTGTCGAGCGGCTATCCGTCCCGTGTCGGCCGGCTGTCCGTTCCGTGTCGGGCGGCTATCCGTCCCGTGTCGAGCGGCCATCCGTCCCGTGTCGAGCGGGTGTCCGTCCCGTGTCGGGCGGGCTTCCGTTCCGTGTCGGGCGGCTGTCCGTTCCGTGTCGGGCGGCTGTCCGTCCCGTGTCGAGCGGGTGTCCGTTCCGTGTTGGGCGAGTGACGACAGCACGGGACGGATGATGGGGTGTCGCGTCATCCGGTGAAGAGGTACATACATACGATGGTCCATCGGCCACTCTCGGCGATAGGATGGGCGGGCGGACAGTTGGTGTTACTGTGTTGTGCGCCGCTCGGGTCACTGAGATCCAAAGCTTTCCGAGCGACTTTGTTCTACGGAAAGTCGCTTGTTGAAACGGCCAGCTGGGCTAAACTTTGTCTGAATATCCGTGTGCATTCATCCAGCCCCGACTTGGATCCAGCGCAGTCGCGGTGTCCTCTCGCTGGCCATCTGACCGGCTATAGAAGTCCGGTGCCTCTGTCCTCTCTCCACCGGGGCTGCATTCCCCACCTCGGCGCGCTCTATCCGCCGGCGCGCCTCCCACCTGGCCCGGCGCCGGAAGCGGGTGCCCACCACGCGCCGGGCGCGGCCCAGCTTCCGGTGCGTGCGCCGCTTCCCACAGCTCGGCGCTAATGGGGGTCGGAGGTGAGCCGCCGCGGCGCGACCGCTCCCACGACCGAGACGAGACGGTGTGCCGGCGGCTTTACCGACCGCTGGATCCACCGTTGTTCTATATACCCTGGGATCCACCGACCTCTCCGCCGCTGGAGGAGCAGTTTCCACCGAATATATAATCCTATGGGCTCCGACATCCACACTGATCGATATATGAACCTCTGCAGCCCCACTGCCCGATACAGAAATATCTCAGCCCGGCCCTACCGACCGTCTCCCCGACCACCGTCACTGATGAGCCTCTCTCTGCTTTCCAGGACTGGACGCGCTGGCGTACGACCCAAACAAGTTCGCCGTCGACTACCACAGTATCGGTTTTCGGGAGTGCGCCGCCGAGGTGGCTCGCTACCTGGTCACCGTCGAGGGCATGGACATCCAGGACCCGCTGCGACTGCGGCTCATGTCGCACCTGCAGTGCTACTCGGCGCAGCGCGAGCTGGCCAACAAGCAGCACAGCAGCGGCTGGGGCTTCCAGCCGTACCCGGCGGCGGCTGCGGCTGGCGGCGTGCCGACGCCTGTGGAGGCGCAGAGCTACCACGGCGCGCTGAGCGGCCACTGCGCGGCGCCCGAGCCGAGCGCGGCGCCCGGCTCCATGGCGCGCTACGCCGCTGCCATGCCGGCCACCATGGGCAGCGTGATGGCCGCCCAGTACCCGGCCAACAGCGGCTTCGGCGCCGTCACCGGCCAGACGGTGAGCTCGTACGGCCTGGCCGGCCAGCCGACGGCTCAGCACACAGCCAGCAGCAGCAGCGCGGCCGGCTCGCCGCGCCCCTACCGGCCCTGGGGCACCGAGCTGGCCTACTGACCGGCGCCCGCCGCCGGCGGCAGCACACGGGGCGCGGACGGACGGAGCGGTCCACTAGTCATTTTGTGATATACGGAGACGGTTGAAGGGATGGTTTCTGGTCATTGTGTATAGAACGATAAGGTATGGGTCAAGTTGGTATGATGTGCTTACGACTTCAACGCAAGTCTTTCTTGTTCACTTTCCAGTAGGTAATGCCTACTCTATTCTGTCAGTGATTTGAATGCTCGGAAACATCCTCAGGTAGAGTAAGTTACCGGATGTCTGGCTAGCATGATGTTCTTTTTTCTACCGAGAAATCAATTAGCTTTCATTTTATACGTTATCTGCAATGGTTTATATCCGCCATAAAGGCGGTCAAACCCTTGTTTTCAATTCATGCTCGATTGAAACTCTGAGGCTCAATGTTTTGCATTCCATTTCTAGTCGACATGTGTATGTATAAAACGTGCTATAATGCGTGCTATTTTTACATAGTGTGTGATTTTGTGTAATACAAACATATTTAAAACAATATTCCTTTTTATATACATATCTTATGAAGATAAACCTGCCAAGGAAGGGGTGATTATCTTGCCTCGTGATACGCATTGAGTACCCTCGTATATTGCGGTTATAATACTGCGGCATTTTCCGGCCTCCCGACCGTCACAGCTGCGTGCTACGAGCGGTGCTCGCTGTGAGTGGGTGCTGAGCCTCTCAGAGGCCCCTCACACCGGTATGGGGTCATGGTCCTGATCGGCTCCTTCAGAGGTCGATGTAAGTAGGTACTTCGAATTGCTTTATTAATAATAGGTGCACCGTTTAGCTGTCACTTCAACGGGCAGTTGGCCGGTTAGTTCATGGCTACACCATGGAATAGCGGCTATTGAACGACGCATGCCACAAAAGGGCACACGGGGTGACGGATCTGAGAGAAACGTCTGTAAGTTATTCCGTCAAGTTAAACCCGCGATTGACTGAACCTTCAGCATCAGTATGCATAACTATAGTTCTCCTGTTCTACTTGGCAGCCTGAGCCGCAGCCTGTCTTTCTCGAGCACCCAAATACGGTTGCTCGCATCTACAGCATATCCTAGCATATGCATATGTGCTACCGTTTGACCACTACCACACGCTATCTATGTGTGAATGTGTCCATCGTCAGTGACAGCTGGTCAGTGGCGCTCACCGCCGCTTATCGGCGGCTAACAGGTGTTGGCTCGATTGTCGCCAACGCGCCATCTTCCGCCCGAGCGAGCCGGCCAATTCATTGCAATCAGTCGGTCCATTCACACTGGATAGAGCCGAACGACATGTAACGGCCGCCGCCTGCCGGGGCCGGGCTATCGACTCATAAACTCGTCACGGCCGGCCATTGTGGGGACAGGGACCACGCCACTGACCGGGGACCACTCCCCACTGACCGGGGACCACTCCCCGCTGACCACTGGGGACCAGGACCACTCAGTTCGCTACAGTCCGCCTCCTGTGCGAGCCACAAACGGGCAGCTACCAATAGAGAGCACAGAACACGCACCCTGTAAAGGAAAATTAGCAAAGCAAACGAGGCCTTGGGAACATATGTGACCGTAGCTGATTTCGCGTTAGCCACCACTCGGCTGGGCCCGGGGGGGGGGGGAGGTATGCCATGCCACTGCCAACGCGTGCCAGCGGCCCTGCTGATAAGAGCGAAAATCAATGTGTACCTGCCTGCATGCGGAGCACATCCTTAGCGATACGATGGCTCCTTGGAGAAGCCTGGACAAACCTCTGCCGGCAGAGGGGTCAGGTCCCTCGCAGCCCGGCGCGGCACGGCTGACGGCGGGGTCTCAGTGAGTGGCCTGACCGGCAACAGGATGAAAATAGCCACCTGGCACGACCCAGCGATGGGGTGACCGAAGGGTGATCAGGTGGAGTGAGGGAGCATTCAGCATACCTGGGGACACCGCGGTACCGGGCAGACGGTAACAGCACTAAACTCGTTAAAAAAGAGCAACAAGCCCATGTTGTATACAGTATATGAGGCCTAAGGAAGCAAGTGTAGACGGGCGGACGGACCGTCTCCACTTCTCCAGCTCCTCCAAATATTGCTAGGTAGGTAATATGTTGCTCCAACAGTTCTCTACATAGGTACCGTGGCTCCAACCAACGAGCGTTGGCACGCTGGAAGTTTTATTGCCTTCGCATTCCACAAAGCAGAGTGTTGTTCTTAGTTATGTACCTAAGTCAATGCAGATGCAAAATTAGTAAAATTATCTTGGATTCCCTTCATAAGGCTAGAGTAATCTTGTCATTTGGTAGCATTGAAAAGGAGTTGCTGTAAAGCATGCGAACTCAATTCAATGCCAGTTTGTGAAGTGACTTTTAGGAATCCTTGGAATAAAGCAGAAGGGAGGGAAGAGATTTGTGTGCCGCGTGTGCCGCGCGGTTCATCTTGGTTTGAAATTGAAATGATTATTGCTACATATCAGTATTTGTACTGCACTTTTGTGTTATTTTCCTTTTCAACAAGACATTTTCTTTTGATCCATGCACATCAGTATGCACAGATTGAGATTGCTCGAGTTTTTGTTCTGGTTTCGGTGAAAATTACCTTTGTTCTTTAGATAATCATGATTATTAAATAATTAGATAAAAATGATAAGATAAATGAGATAATACAATAGCCTTTTATTTTCTTGAAGTCACTATTTTTACAATTAGGTACTGTTGCGGATATCAACTTTGTTTGGACGTATTTTAAATTTCTTGCTAAGAATTGTAAAATTGAAATGTAAACTGCATTTTTTCCATTTATTCTGTAGCGCACACGTGTGGACCCTTGTGCCTAGCTGGGAGGGCCCGGGCGCAGCAAATCCGCCTCCGCCCTAGCGGTGACCACTGACCTTGGCCTCCGCGGTCTGTTGCGACTCCAAAGCCGAGCCAGCATCAAGTTTGGAGAGCCCAGGCCCTCCCAGCTTGGTACAAAGTTCCACCTATAAGCGCACATATGAATACTCAAAGTCAAATCAGCATGACCTGAGCAAGTGTGTTTCTGACCAAAAGTCGGTCGGAGAGGCCATCATAACCAAGCGTTTTCATTGTAGTTAATTCAATCTGATTAGTGTCATGCCATTTGATGGGAAATGTGACCCAAAAGTATTTTTCATTTTTTTGTTACCCACAATTTTTTTTGTGACAGACATCTAGTTACTTACATAGCATTGAGAGAAATAGTACCTATATCAATGACCATATGGCTTTCACTATATGAGTGGCATCAGCCCTGAAAGCCAATCAAGCCCCAGCTGAGCGTGAGCCAACATTACTGTGATTGCAATTCAAATTGGTATTTTGTGTGAGCTTAAGGATCTGGAATGGATAGGTCTAAGCTATTTTAAATCACCTATGGTTGCATTCTGATTTTTTTGGTACAGTAATGATTACTAACCAAACCTAACTTTGATGGAATGTTTAATTTTCAATACAGTCGGTAATGTCTTATGTGCCTTTGATGCCTTTATTTACAATTTGTTTCAGACCATTCTGAAAACTCAGGGCTTTTTGTCTTGAGTTGAGGAAGAGATGTGAAATTGAAGTAAGGATTACTTCTGATCCAAATCCTTTGTGCCACTAAATGAACTTGGTTAGTGTGTGACTTTTCAAAGCAGCAGTTCTTGGTCCTTGTTAACATTGAACTAGTTTTGCATCATAGAGTGCTGAAGGTATATGAGAATATTACAGACCAGGCATAATAAATATTGGCTGTATTTGAAGATATTCTGTGTCATCATGTACAGAAGATGGCCACAGCAATGGATGGTTTCTCAGGTAAACTTTGGACTATCAGGAAGTTCAAGTGCATTTGGACACTGTTAAATATATGGATTTGCAATCTATTTCTTGTGTGTTGTGATGAACTTTGAATATATTCATTTTTTTTTAGTCTCTTATGAAAGGTAATTGAAGGCCCCTATATAATTCAAATTATTGGTGGATTCAGATTTACATGAAAACTGTTTTTGTGCATTGTTGATGTCTGCTTTACTAGTCATTGTTGCAGGGTTTGTCATTTGTAGCTGTGTCACCACCTATCATTGTTTGTCTGTGATTGGTGATTGTGTTGTGTGTGGTGTTCTCAGGGCATGGGTCTGGCCACCACGAGTGGTGCTGTGACTGAGTGGTGATTGTGTTTGGTGTTCTCAGAGTATGGGTCTGGCCTCTCCACCGCCTGTGGTGCCCTACCTGCGGCCGGGCTCGGCGTTCTGCCGACCGCTGCCGCCGCCCGTCAGCGAGATGGAAATGATGAACTACCTGTGGCAGAGCGTGCTCCGGTAGGTGGCGCGCCGGGCGGGGCGCGGCTCGGGGAGGGGTAGAGAGTCCTAGACACGGCACAGAGTGCAGGGTGCAGTGACATGACTGCTCTCTAAGACAGTGAGCACACACAGCACACTGGGAGCCACTGAACAATGCGAGAGTCACGCACTGAAGTCTGTTGCGTCCGTGTCTGATTGTTCCGTCCGCCCACAGTCCCCGGCCGGGCCGTCGGCCGCCGCCTCCCGCCGCCGCCGGCCGCTGGGAGCAGCCGGAGGACTCTGCAGAGTCGGACGCCGGCTCGCGCGCCAGCTCCCCGCCCGGCGGCCGCCGCCAGGGCACCAAGCGCGGCTGCTCGGAACCGCCCAGCCCGCCAGCCGACCAGCGCAGCAAACGCGGCCGGCGCGCGCCCGACGGCGCGTCGCCAGAGGACACTGTGAGTGCGCCGCGGCGGCTCGGGGGTGATGTTCTGAGGCGCACTGGCAGCCGTGCTATGGCGTACGCCACTGAGACCAGTGCCGTTCGGCTGTGGTGTATGCACGTCAGGCCATGGTTAGGATGATGGTAGCATCTACAGTGTTCGAACTGACTTCACTGCTGCGGGTGGGAGGACGCTGAGCTGCCGAGTGTCGGCGACAATCTAATGACCTGCTCGCTATGTAATTATGGTGATGCTCGTGACCGCATTTTTGTTGACTATCTTTTGCAGGTATCGGAACAAATCAAGAAGATTTTCGAATCTTGTCGCCAGGGTGATGCGGTTTACAAGAACAAGCTGATTTTGAGAGATAAAGTGCGGAAGGTATTGAGGGTAAGTAATTAAATACGCATTTTTATATAGCTTGTGTTATGAGATGTATGCGATGTAATTGTGCAGGTCTGCTGTGCCTTCCCGCTTAGGTACTTCTAATTTCACCTAATGTAGCTTTCTTGTTCAGTGTCCACTTGTATGCGCCTTTTCGAATTATGCTGCCTTTTCTGGCCTTACATACTGTTTTCTGACCCGGTCCTGGTCTGCCCCCCGGTCCGCAGGATCTGTACAACCGCTGCGAGCTGCACATCGTCGGCTCGTCGTGCACCGGTTTCGCGTGCGATACCAGTGACGTGGACATCTGTCTGTTTCTGACGGAGGCGCGCATCGACCAGCAGCACGAGGCGACGCGCATCCTTGGACAGGTGGAGCGCCTGCTGGCTAAAGGTACGTGGCAGGGGGCGCCCTGACGCTAGTCTGCATCACCGTTTGTACATTGAATCAGCTGATGTTGGATTGGCGCTGAGCGGATGAGATGCTGGCTAGTGCGTCAATAGTCATTGTTGATGAACTCGGACGTATAAACTTGTTTTGGTCCTAGACAGACAGCTGACGTGGAGCTTTCGTGCGCGGATGACTAATGAATGAGCTATGCGACGGACGACTAAAGGACACTGTGGCCGCCTGTGACTCCGCATTCCGTGGTATAGTTTATCTCTGTGAAGTTAGTTACGCCGATGCTGCCTGTGTCTGATTTACTTTTCGGCGCGCCACCTGTCGATCCCGTCCGCTGTTACTGGCGCCACCGCGTCACTGGCTCGTCACTCCCCAGCTCCCTTTGTGTGACCGTGCCGTGCCATCCTATGTGACTGCCACTACGACCAACCGTTCGACGCCCTAGCGTCCTGTATGTGACGGACCGGTGCCGTGACGACCAGGGTAACCCTCCGTGTGACGCCCAGCTCCCAGTCAAGTGTGTGACGGTTCCTCTGCTCTATCCGACAGACCCCGACTACCGTATGGAGCTGATCCGTGCCAAGGTGCCCATCCTGCGGTTCCTCTCTGTCTCCACGGGCATCCAGGTGGATCTCAACTGCAACAACCTGGTGGGCATCCGCAACACCCACCTGCTGCAGTGCTACTCCAGGGGTGAGAATATACAGCTACAGTGCTACTCCAGAGGTGAGATGTCTGCTGCAGTGCTACTCCAGAGGTGAGATATGTACCACCTGCTGCAGGGGTGCTCCAGAGGTGATAATATATAGCACCTGGTGCAGTGCTACTCCAGAGGTGAAATATATAGCACCTGCTACAGTGTTACTCCAGAGGTGAGTGAGATGTCGGCTGCAGTGCTATTCCAGAGGTGAGAATATACAGCTACAGGGCTACTCCAGGGGTAAGGTACATACCAGCAGCTGCTGCAGGGCTACACCAGGGGTGAGTGGGATGTCTGTTTTAGACTTGTAGAGCTTCTCTGAAGGTGATGTGTCTGTTACACTGGTACTCCCAGAGTTCAGTCACGTTCTACGGTGCTACTGAAAGAGCTGAGGGAGCATGTACTCACTACTAGTGCTACTGGGTTCAATATTCATCTGCTTTATCATGGTTTGGAGTGAGATAATTGCAATGTGTTTATGTAATCGGGTGGCGTATTGCGCTGAAACGAGGGATAATACCTAATCAGAGGGAAGGTGTCCTGTTTGAACTGAGCTCATACTCTGCAATCAGGGTCTGTGTGCCTGACCTGGACTGGTCCACCCCCACTTCTCTCGCAGTGGACGAGCGCGTCTGTCCGCTGATCGTCATAGTGAAGCTGTGGGCGCAGTCGCACGACATCAATGACGCGTGCCGGTCCACGCTGAGCTCCTACTCGCTGGTCCTGATGGTCATCCACTTCCTGCAGTGTGAGTAATACACGTCACAGTTCAAACTTCGGGCGCCCAAAAACCCCAATTCATCATCATCACAGCTCAAACTCAGTGCAGCTTGAGGGCTACTGGCTGCTACTCAGGATGACACGCTGATTCCGTGGTAAGCCTGCGTATGCTGGTATTGGTGGAGGATTGAAGGGTTTTCATTTCCCTTCTCACTTACTGCCGTGTCAGTTGATTTGAAGATGTCGTGATTGATGGTTTAACAACTTCTGGTGGTCTTTCATTCACCGACATGACGTGCACCCGGATGAGACTCCACGAAACCCAATGGCCGGTGTAATAACTACTGTTTCCCCTCCCGTCCGCCAGGCGGTGTGTATCCGTCGGTTCTGCCGAACCTGCAGCGGATGTGCCGGGCCAAGTTCCGGCCGGGTCAGCCGATCCGGGCCATTCCGAAGGACGACTACGTCACAAACTTTGTGTCGCAGAACTCTGACAGCCTGGGCAGTCTGTTCCTCGGCTTCCTGCGCTACTACGCCTACGAGTTCAAGTAGGTGTGCGCGGCGCGGCGCCGCAGTGCTGATCTTCCCAAGGTCGGTGTACACTGTACAGACGTGTGCCGGTGTGGTGACGTTGTGCTGGGCAGTTTCAATCAGACGAGTTTGCGACAGGTTTGCTGAGTAGTGGTCTGCCAATAACATGTTTTTATCGTCCAGGTAGGGCCAGTTTCGTGCTGACGTTCTAGTTGCCTCCGTGTAGGTCAATATTTTTGCTCTCTGTGTGGGTCAGTTTGTGCTGACTTGTCTGCTCTCTGGGCAGTAGCGGCGGAAGACCTTCAATTAAGGGGAGGGGGGGGCACTGCCGACTTTTGGTCCCATTCTTTCCATTCGACGCCCATAGGGCTAATGCTAAAATGCCAAAATCAAAGGGGGGCACGGTGCCCCGGTGCCCTCCCCGTTCCGCCGCCTATGTCTCTGGGGTTGCCAGTGTGTACGGACGTGTTAACCCGCCCCTCTCGGCCAGCTTCCACTCCCAGGTAGCGTCTGTTCGCACGGGCTCGTGCCTGCTCAAATATCAGTGCCGGGCGGTGGCCACCTACAACAACGCGCCCGGAATGTGGAAATACGTCTGCGTGGAAGGTGAGTGGATTTAGGTGCGGAGAGGGGGTGGATAAGGCTTTGTTTTCTTAAATATGCCCTGGTGTGACCGATTGGCAGTCAGTTTCACTCGAGGTGGAAGGTGTAAGTCGTTACATACTTTGTTGAACGTCTGAAGTGCTTGGGTGTACCATCCCTGATGTGTTGGGTGATCATTCTGCACCATGCTAGGTCAGCTGACCGACAGTCCCCTCCCCGCCCCCAGAGCCATTTGATCTGACCAACACGGCGCGCGCCGTCCACAAAGCCGAGGCGTTCGACCGAATAGTGCGCGCGTTCGTGGACAGTCACCGGGCGCTGTCGGACGGCGGCCGGCTCGGCGCGGCGTTCGGGCCGTGCGGACGGCCGCTGTTTGACGACCCCGAGTAGTCGCTGCGCCGAGAGCCGAGAGCCGACAAATTCCGCGTGGGGCCGCCGCCGAGGCCGGGCCCGGCCGCCATCATGTCCACTGTGATTCCTGTGTACCTGCGCCCCGCCAGTGGAACGGGCCGCCCGTCCGCCCCGGCAGCCCGGTCCGCCGTGACCAAAGACAAAATAGCTATCGAGTTGGTGGGACCACAAATACAGGCCTGCCGCAGCCTGAGCGCTGCCGGCTCGCCGACTAGTTCGTCAGAGTTTTATTGTCCATTATAGTCAAATAAATAAGTTTATGCAGAAACTGATTCGTGGCTTTGATGGGAGCTGATTACGCCGTATGGTGTGCTGTGGCATGGTTTGATTTCGGGTGGTCTGTTTTGTCGCTTGACTTTTTCATACAGCTGACTATCTTCATAACAAACCGGATGGGAGAAAGTCAGGAAATACGGGGCCGAAAATGATACGAGTCCTGTTTGTAGACGGTGACTCCTGATACGTCGAATGGCAGCCTTTACGGCTTTTCCTTATCCCAGTTCACTTGGCGGTGGGACGGGACGGGACGGGATAGGGAGGCAGAGAGCGGCAGGCGGCGGGCACCTGGGCGACTGGCGCCGCTGCGGCGAGTGACGGCGCGGCGGCGGCGAGTGACGGCGCGGCGGCGGCGAGTGACGGCCCGCTGATGAGGTCCAGGCGCCGCCGCCGCCGCCGCCGCCGCCGCCGCCGCCGCCGGCGCTCCGTCTGAGGAAATCAGTGTGACGGACCACATCTGCGCCCGGAGGAGGGACGTGCTGAGAGCGGGTCTGAATCGGCGCACGGCCGGCCCGACTCTGAATGAAAACCCGTGTCAGCCTGCGGGCGGCTGTCGGGGCGACTCGGCTCGAGTGGACTCGGCTCAGTGCTGACGCCCCTCACATCAGCAGCCGTCAGAGCCGTGAAGGACGGAACGGCTCCGCAGTGTTACAGATCTCGCCGCTACATAGACAGCGAGCGACCTGACATACCGAAAGGGAAGGTGATCACGGTATCCGGACGTCCCATTTGACACAGCGGAAACTGCATTGAGATCTCATGCTCAGGCGGCTGAATCGGCTGAATCCACCATGTAAAGGTAAATTCGGGCGTCAGTGTCAAACTTCATGCGAAAAAGAAAGAAAAAGAAAGCAGCCATCGCCGACAATTGCCACTCTGCATCTATTGACGGCGGAGGAGACCCGTGCCGTCATAACAAATCAACGGTGCATGGTTGGTAAATGTGCGTGCGACCTCCTCAAGTAAGATATTCGTGGAAAACGCGAGCGTGCTGCTCTCCTGGCTAGATCAACCCAATGGTAAACGATTCGAAGGTCTAAGGTCAACTGGTGACCTCAAAGGTCACGTCAAAGACCAACATATCGGATGCTGTATGTTTACCAATAACATCCGAAGAAATATGGTGGACGAGTAAAATAAGGCTAGTGTACCAAAGCCGAGGTTGATTTCGGGTGACTTCAAAGTTAAACAAACCACCCAACTTGGACGTCTTTTGCTCATGGTGTGTTGCATTATAGGTATGCAATGTGTCCAGAAAAAAGATGCTACGGAAATTAACCCTCGCCGGACCTATTGGTTTTCTACATACGCGCCGGCCGAGGGGGGGGGGGCGGGTACGACCCCCCCCTCGCCGTTTCGCCCCTGGTGGAGCTAGCGCGTCGCGGAAAAAAACGAGCGTGTGCGCCGTTACGAGACGCAGAGATTGGTACCCGATTTTAAGGTCCTAGGTCAACCGGTGACCTCTGAGGTCAGGTCAAGTGCCCCAAGGTACCGTTCAGTTTTTGGTGAATAACTTCGCAAAAAACGGCCGCAGAGCGCCGATTTTGGCAGCATCGTGTTCGCCTCGCCCAGGCGCTTCGAATGATATACTTTTTGTCCGGGTCAGGTCAACTTGGGGTGTTGACCTCAGGTCAAGGTCAGGTCAGCACCCCCAGGTCACGAAGTTGGTCGAAAGAGGTCAGGTCGCATATCATTCGATTCGCCAGGTCTTCCTGAGTCCATTGGTGGCTTTCCCGAGTCGCTAGCTCAATTTGATCAAGAGTTATTGACGAAAAACTGATATGACCTTGATGACGTCATAAATGACGTCACGCAAGGTCAACATTGCAAAAGTGACGCATCTAACCTTGCAAGGAGTGCATCAAATCACGATTCTGTGTGCTTGAGTTAGTTGGAGATCGTTCCCGGCGCCAGAATAGCAGTTTTCATTTTCCCCTTTGACTTATAGGGGAAGTTGGGGCAATGCCGGAGTTGGGGCAAAGCCGAAATTCGAGATATTTCTAAAACCGCACGACATGGATGCCACGTCTCAGTGATGCGACTGCAATTATCGCATGTTTGTTACGAGTCGTCATTTGGAATACTTCGGCTCAGGGCCTCGGCTAACATGTTAACTACTGGGGCAAATGCCCCAGTAGTCTCAAGGAATGCCCCAGTAGTGATCGGATTTTGCCCAACTTCGACAAAAGGATTATAGTTCAATATAAACGTACATTGTTTTACTCAGGAGCAGCTAAAACGAATGAAGCAATACAATTGCACTTATCAGTTACTTCACTCACATTGCAGACACAGTGCACCCTGACTTTCACACTTCACTCCTCTGCTCCCTATGAGCGGCAGGTTAGCCTGGGTTAGCCAATGTAATACATTGGAATTCTCCGCAACGGCGGTGCCTTGCTGCGAGAAATCGTTGTCAGTCAGCTGACGCCGTTTGAGTCGTTTGAGTCAAACGCATGAAGGCAAACGTGGGCAAACGTTTCGAGGACGGTGAGCGGCGGGGGAGGCAGGGGGTGCGCATTGTGCACGCCGCGTGGTTTGTAGGAGACTGGCACTGGCGTTGTGTACCGTGGCATTGTACAAGCTGACCTCGTGAGGACACCAAACTGTGAGGAGGAGATGGACATCATAAAATTTTTCCAACCACAAAAGGTATGTTAATTAAACATAGGTAAGCGTTTATCTCATTATCATAGGGAATGGAGTCACACACGTGTTTATTTCGCTCTTTTTTACTGTCGCTTGCATATGTGGCTGGTCGCGCCGGTTCCAGTGACATTACGCATATAAATATGACAATGCATGAATTTTGACGGTAGATGGTTTGTACTCTTTCTCCCTCCCTCCGCTTTTCCATGACCCCTTCTCGGTCCGCTAGTGCCGCATCGACGTCGCGTACTGCCCTGCGATTTTAACTCTTCGTCTTGGATTGCATCGCCATCGACCGCTAATAAAATTCGCCCATGCATTTCTTCATCTTGCATTCCTTCGAATGTACAAATCGTGGTCTCGTGTGTTCGTCCCAAGGCTATATAACCGTTCGTCCTCGCATTTCTTTGCCCTGCATTTCTTCGTCTGCACAGTTATCGTCTCCTGGTCTAACAATGTTAATTTTGCCTCAAGGCCCAAGCGTAGGCTCGGTTGCGACTTGCGAGGGCTGCCAAAGGTGTGTGAGTTTTCAGGGTCCCACCGACCTCGAAATTCGATATTTCCGATTTGTATAGGCCAGACTCCAGAGGATCCCTAACAAATTATCATCCCTTTCCGTGCCTCATGCATGCGTTTGTTTGGACGTCCTCATTCGAAATACGGTACACAGGCACGAGTAAAATGCTAGTCTTTGGGAGGCTGCACTGACCAGAGGCGTTGTTTTTACAAAACAGCTTTTGCATTTTGTTCCTAATTGTATTTCCTTCTTCCCAGAAACGGCCCTCGTCCGATCCGGTATTAATTCCTCATCCGACTGTGCCCGACCATGAAGTTGTGGATCAAGCACCAACGGTGACCGAGAAGAGGACACGCATCAGGTAATACCATATAATTTATCAACTGGTACATGTATGGCTGAAACAGTGCTCGGACGTGCACAGTGACGTGTACGTGTATGTATGGGTGCCAATTTAGAACGGACGGCGGGCGGATAACCCCTCCCCAATGCCCTCGAAAATGGAGCAACGCCGCGAGAAGCGGTGCAAACGGCGTTGGAAAGCCCGCAAGAGAGTTAAAAATTGCAATTTCCCGGTTAAAGCCGACAACCTTTGACAAGCCTACCTCCTTTTCACAAATCATCCCCCATACCAAATGAGATAAAGCGGCGCGGAAAACAATCAGTAGAAGCCTTTGTAAGGCTCTTTGCTTATTGTGTCGTCAGCTTTGGCCTCATATCAACAATCAACAGCTTGACCTCCAGAGGTCGAAGCTGAGAAAATCTACTTATCAGATCAAACTCTGCTTCTCCACTAAATATCGTCATATTCTGCAGCAAGGAGAACGATTTTACCAACACGCTCGTTTTTTCCGCGAAGCTCTTCTAGCTCGATCAGGGGCGAAACGGCAAGGGGGGTCCAACGGACCCCCTCATACGTTCGCGGCTGGAAAAACACCAATACTGGCGAGGGTTAATGCTCTAGCAGGAGGCGATTTTGAAAGAAATCGATTTATCTGCTGGGAAATCAGGGACTTAATAATTGTTCTCTGGTTCGATTTTTCATCTGCCTGACCGGAACCACCGACGGCCATGCATGAATATATATATATTGTCTTTTCTATATGTAATACTTGCCACTGGAGGGTTAGTTGTCATTATCTTTCTTATCATATTCGCCATGCTTAGTTCAATGCTTAGATGCTTTTTATTGGACGGGTAGAAAATTTCCTAACCCTATGACATCGATTAATTAATGAAATCTGAGGTATAGGAATTGCATATACCACATTACTAACATGAATTTTTTAGGCCTTTTATCAACAGGTTTACCTACGGCGAGATGCCAAACTAAGAAATTTGTATTCGGAGGTCAGGTGACTTACGTGACCAGGTGATCTCAGTTTTTCATATGTCACATTTTCAGATAATGTGCTTAGTGAAGGTATGAATAGTTGCGTGAAATTTGGAGGCACATCTGGAAACCCTGGTGTGGCGCTTATTTGCCCCTCCCCGTCCGTGTACGTGTCAGACAAGTTTTTTTACACGTAAATCTTCTTAACAACATTCCCACTTTTCTTTGTCAGTGCGGTATCATCTCATCCGGACCGCCCGACAAGTCCGTCTACCAGTCAGCCTACTCCTTCGCTCCAATCAGACATCGATGAGTCCAGTCACAGTGAGACAGTGAGAGCTCAACCTAGCGAGCGTCCTGCGGCAGTCCCCAGTACCAGTGTTGGACTTGGCCAAGACCCGGCCAGCTGGTATAAAGGTTCGAAGCTAGATGCACGTTGGCTGGCCAACAAATTCGAATGCTTTCGTTTGGAAAATAGACAGGAGGGTGGGAAGGGCCGAAAACGAGCCGTTCTAGTATGCTCGACTTGTGAGCGGCATCACACTGAAGCGGCCAAAGTGTCTCAAAATGGGCGAGTCCACATGGCGAGCGGCGTTCGGGCCGACTCAAAGGAGCGGCTGAGACAGGCAGTGGATCACATCGGATCACGAGCTCACGCCGCTGCTGTCGAAGTCGAAAACTTTCAACGTCAGTGGGAAGCTAAGAGCGGGGAACATCCTTGGGTCGCTGTCCTAAAGAAGACCGAGGCTGGCGTGACAAAGGTTTTGGTAGAACTGGCCGTCGCGGTTTATAACGACAGCATGCTTGAGACACCATCTGCTTGGTCTTGGCCCGCCAGGTCACTGGCGACCGTTCGCGAGCGTCAGGTTTGGACGGCTCTGAGTGAGGGTGGGTGGGGCGTAAATCTGATTCCTACCGAGCCAGCAGTAGAGGCTCTGCACTACCGCGACCCTGACACCTACCGTGAGATGTTGAGCATTGTAGCTGGACTCGAGAGAAAGAAGCTAGGTGAGAAGGTAACTGCTGGAATAGTTTATAGCATACAGGTTGACGGAAGTATGGACCGGCAGCAAATGGACAACAAATTCGTCACACTACGAGTAGTTGATGATGCATGCCAGATCCAGTCATACCTGGCAGGCGTGATAGAGCCGGAAGAAAGTGGAGCTCAAGGTCTCCTGGACTCTGTAAAACAGGTCATGCAAGACTTGAGTCTGCCGTCCGAGACGATGGTGGGAGTCACCACAGATGGGGAAAGTGCAAACACAGGCCGGCAGTCAGGCCTGTGGAGACGGCTCAATGAGTTCCTGGGTCGGCAGATCATTACGATATGGTGCGTGTGCCACCGGAGCGACCTTGCGCTGGAGAGTGTGGAGAAGATGGTTCCCGAGCTCCAGCACTGGAAGTCGGATCTCCGCGCTCTCAGCAGCCACTTTCGTATGTCCAAGATACGGACGAAAAAGCTCCGTGAAACCGGTGAAGTTGTGACGTTCCCTCCAGTATTTGAAGTGAGGTTCGCGGAACATCTGCTGGCCTCGATCAAAGCTGCTCTGTCAAATCTGGCCGCGTGCAGGAAAGTGTGGGAGAGTGTGGCTGAGTCGGGAAGTAGGGTGGAAAAGGCCGAGGCGAAAGGATTTCTACGAAAATGGGCACCGAATGGACAGACTGTCCGTCTGACGGCTCTAATGGCTGACATTTGTGGGATCTTCTGTCACCTGCAGAAAAAGTTTCAGAAGGGAGACCTCGTGCTGCCCGAGGTTCTAGCCGCACGAGACTCAGCGGTCATGCAACTGAAGTTGATGGAAACCGAGCCTCTTCCCGGTGGCCAAGAAGAGAAGTTGGGAGATGTGGAGGAGGCTGCAACTCGGTGCCACAACAGCAATGTGACCACCAAGCGCAACTTTGGTGCCGTTCGACAGGAAACTGTCAGCTCTGCCATCAATTTCCTTACGGAGAGACTGAATGTGGAGCAGGAGAACGTGGTGAGTGTTATGTCACAGATGCTGAAAGCAACTTCAGTGGCCGAGTTTTTGGCTGCCAGTCGAGATCTGACTGCTGGACTGTTTGGCCCGGAGAGTGTGGCACAACTTATCACCGACGTTTGCGATGACTGGAACAAAATGACTGAGGCCAGAGGACAGCACGCTGACTCGAATAACAATCTAGTGGCGATGACGAAATGCTCATCCGGAGTCTGCAAGAAGCTGCTGTCATCAATGCTGTGTGTCGCTCCCCACAGTATGGGTACCGAACGGGCAGTGTCCCACTACAACACAATCCGCAGCAGTCATCGCCTAGGCATGCATCTGGCCACGGCAAACGATCGACTCATGATTAGTGTCAACGGCGTAGGCACAGCCAGTTATGACCCGCGGCCGGCCGTGGCCGCGTTCCTAACGTCAAGGCAGCGACGGAACAAGCACCCCGATCCAAAGATCTATAAGCAGCGTGAGTTTGTCAAGAAGTTTTTTAGGCCTGCCGGGTCGCTATAGAAGAAACATACCCAGTCACACGACGCCTACCTGGCGTTCTAAAACAGCAACCCCCGAAAACCAGTGATATGATTTGAGTGTAATGGTCAGTTACGCGATTCGGTGACCTAGCGTGATGTGTCAATACAATGCTGCCAATACAATTTGAAGTGATGTGCGAGATGGATCTGCAAATTGTTTTGGTAAACGAATATTTCACAACACGTAAAAAGCATGGTCATGGACGACGGCTGAATTAACGAACAGTTCAAAAGTAGAATACTAAGGCTTACTGATTATCTATTTTCACCCCATCGGTCGATCTACTTTTGTGAGAATGTTACATTTTGACTAGGAAATATGTAGTTTGCCAACATTCACATCGTTTTCACTGTTGTTGCGCTTTATGCACTATTTATTCATTGTAAATTCGTCACATTTTGATCATTTGCCCCAGTAGTCAAAATTCCTTAGCCGAGGCCCTGCTTCGGCTGTGAGGGCGCCAAAAGCGTTTTCAAGGTACGTTTCCCTTGTAGGGGAGAGTGGGGCAATGGCGGACGGTGGGTAATGCCGGCCACCCATCTCTAGTGAGTACTTTGTCCATCACTAATCAGCTGATGTTGTTTACATTTCAGTTGAGCGCCATTCTAGCACGTGGTGCAAGTTTGTCACGGTAGCTCCATTATTTTCATTTTTATAGCGTTAAATGTGTTTTTCGTATCTGATTTTTAATTTTTGTTGCATCTATTTGCTGACTGTGAAATGTGTTAACGCATTTTCAGAAGTGCTGCTTTGCAATGGCCTTCAATTAAGCCTTTCTTAGGCGACTGCTGGATGTGAGGCGTTTGCGGCGCAATGCCTTTGACTGCTGCCTGCTTTCTTAAAATAAAGCTGACCTCGGGGTAATACCGGACACATGTCCGGAATGACTCCACGCGGTTTTTTTTAGAGCCAGGAGACAGCAGGTAGTGATTAATGGTCAGTCATCTGACTGGTCGGAGGTGGTCAGCGGGGTACCCCAAGGCTCGGTCCTGGGTCCACTACTGTTCTTGATTTTCATTAATGACATGCCTGAGGTTGTTGGTTCCTCGCTGACGATGTTCGCGGACGACACGAAGCTGTACTCCACGGTAGCCTCTACTCTCGCTGCGTCTAGCCTCCAGTCTGACCTCGAGGCTCTGGTCAACTGGGCGGACGCCTGGCAACTCCCCTTCAATGAGGCGAAGTGTAAGGTCATGCACCTCGGACGAAACAACCCAGCAAAGCAGTATGTGATGAGAGACTCTGAGATGAGCGTCGTGCGGGTGGAGAAGGATCTGAGCGTGCAAGTCGATGACGAGCTGAAGTTCAGACAACATGCTTCAGCAGCCGTAGCCAAGGCCAACCAGATTCTCGCTGTGATTCGTCGCTCATTCGTGCTGATAAACGAGTGCACGCTGCCGCTGCTTTACAAGTCCCTGGTGCGCCCGCACCTCGAGTACGGCAACCTCGTGTGGGGCCCTTTCAACAGGGCGGACCAGAAGCTGGTGGAGAGGGTACAGCGCAGAGCTACGCGCATGGTGGCCAACCTTCGCCACCTGCCCTACCAAGAGAGGCTCAGGGCTCTGAAACTTCCATCGCTGTACTACCGACGCAAACGGGGCGACATGATATTCACCTACCAGATGTTCCATGGAGGGGTTGATGTTGAAGTCACGGATCTCTTCTGCCCCGCCACGGGTGCCGTTACACGAGGTCACCCACACAAGCTCCGCAAGCCAGAGGCGGTCAGCAGACTGAGGAGAGCTGCATTCGCAGTCAGGGCCGTGAACGACTGGAACGGCCTACCTGCTCAAGTGGTCAGTGCCCCCACCGTGGACTCGTTCAAGGCGAGACTCGATGCCCACTGGGGCCATCACTGGTATCATATACCAGACACGGATTAACAAATGGCAAAAGGGACAGGAGCTCGGTTAGAACGGGACCTCCAGGCCGAGTTGGCCTTTATTATGCCCGAACACCGTAAGGTAAGGTAAGGTAAGGTAAGGTTTTGTTTGCGACTTCTGTCGTTAAAGCTCAACGTTTCGGGTTGCTGTGTTTACGGCTGTGTTAGTTTGCTTGCTGTGTTTACGGTTGTGTTAGTTTGCTGCTCTGTTTGCGCCGCGCTGTTGTGTTGCAGCGAGTGCAGTGATGTGTTGCAGTAGGGTAGACCGGGGCAAGTCGCCCCGCCGAGGTAAAACGCCTCACCGATGTTTCTCGGAACTGGCAAGGTTCTGGGGAAACATCCTCTCTTCTATAAAACGTGCACTATACGATCATTATATGAGCAGACTGGAAAGAAATTGTGATGACGCTTTAGGGAGATATAGCCAAAAATGTGTTTTTGGAGTGATTTTTATGTTTTGTTGTCAGATTATGCATCATGGCGTTCTTTTATCGTCCACATCAGGTTAACGACTTTTATGTATTTTGAACGACTATTGTCTAATGCTTATAATGCCGGGTTGGTTCGTGTTAAATTATGTCTTCCTGGAGTGCAAGGCGTTGTTCTCTGACCGTACTACGTGATGGGGTAAAACGCCCCAGTAGGTCGCGGGGCAAAAAGCCCCATGGGGCGTTTTACCTCATGTGTTGTTCGGACTACCCACTTCCTAATGTTCGGTAGCTGGCGAACGGCATGTTTCTATGCATTTATATGTACTTTTCTCAGCAACTGGATGGCAAAGGAAGTATTTTGTTAACATTTGCATTGCAATAATTTATTATTTGGCCTTCTGAGGCAGGTGAAAAAACTGCTCACACAATAGTGTCGTAGCTGAACACCTGATAGGATGGAAGGTGCTAACTTCAGTGCCGTGCCTCCCAAGGTCTAACGGACCTCTCATATAAGATTTAGTCAACTAGCATGTTTAATCTTTAATCTAGAGTATGGGGCTTCTTGCCCCAGGCCGTGGGGCGTTTTGCCCTGGGGTTGGGGCAAAACGCCCTATTTGCAGTTGCTTCACAAATCACCTCCTAGCTGGGAGTCCGATCATAAGTGAATGAATTTGAGGGGTGGAATTTAAAGTAAAATGTCCAAAGAACGCATTGATCACAAATTTGGCCTTCCAGGTGATGTGGGACAAAAGTTATGTAGCAAAATAAATTATCTGGGGCGTCTTGCCCCAGGCTACCCTACAGTGTACTGTTAACTGCTGAATACAGTTGTCGTTTCTTAATTCTCACTTAAATTTCCATCGAAAGAACGGTTTAAGGATGAATACCAGTGACGGTATTTCGACTTTTGTGCTATTGCACTTAGTGGCCGGCATTACCCCTCGCTTTTTTGCACCTCCATTTTTCACCACATTTTCGCGTAGGCTCTGAATCTGTCATCAGTGATCTGAGATACTAAAACTGGGTGCTATCTGAAAGCCTATTCCTTTGGCTATAACCACATTCAAAATCACCATAAAATAGCTTCAAATAGCTAAGCTATTGAGCAAAATGCTTATGGTGTCGCCATTGCCCCACTCTCCCCTACTACATGCGCCTTTGAAGCTGCATTTCTTACTCATTATGCTACCGTTTGTCTGGCCAATTCGGTCAAGTAATCTTCAGCATGTTTTTGCATAAGTGTGCTGCCTATTTGAAATTTATACAGCACGTTTAAAAGTTATGGGCCTGCAAATGAAAGTATGGCTGGCTGGGGTAATGCCGAAAACGTGCAATTACGCACGTTAAAGCACGCTACGTGGACTTTACTGCTGTAGAATAGCAACGCGTGTTTTTAGTCAAACAAATTACACTTTCAGCCGGCACAACGGCCTGTTACCTATGAGGAATGATTTACCTGGCATTTTCTTATTATATCACACAATTATAACTTCCAGTGTGCACCAAGCGTCCTCAAGCTCTTAAAACGCGTGTCAGCTTTGATGAATTTTGTATAAAGTTTGAGATAAATTGGCAAAACATCAATGTTGGCATTCCTCGTAGATCATTTATCCCATTTTCGGCTTCCCCCGCAGTCCGGGGCAACGCCGAAAAAGTCAGTTCTTTGATATTTTTAGTTTTTGCGCTTCAGTGGCGGATCCAGGGGGGGGGCAAAATGGGCATTTGCCCCCCCCCCCAAATGGCATAATTTTAACATTACGCCTATGGACGATGCATGGAAAGAATCGATAAATTGTTATGGTTTGCCCCCCCCCCCTAAACCTCTGAGCTGGATCCGCCTCTGTTGCAGGGACGTAGCCAAGGGGGGGCGGAGGGGGCGCCCGCCCCTCCCTTGGGGTTTTCAGGAGGCCCTCCGAAAGGATTCAGGCCAACGTGGGCCGAAGGCCCACGTTGGCCTGAATCCTTTCGGCCTGAATCCAACGTGGGTCGAAGGCCCACGTTGGCCAAAATCACGTCGGAGGCGAACGAAATTTACGCGGGAATCTAAAAAAATGACGCCAGAACAATCAGGGCCCTCATCTCCTGTGAATAACCACTAGTGTCTGTGTCTGACCGCTAGGGCCCCTCTGACTCCTCAGTAGAGAGGAGGCCCTCTGTGGGTAGGCGGCCCTCTGTAGAGAGGAGGCCCCCTTTGAGAGGAGGCCCCCTTTGAGAGGAGACCCCCTTTGAGAGGAGGCCCCCTTTGAGAGGAGACCCCCTGTAGAGAGGAGGCCCTCTGCAAAAAGGAGGCCCTCTGTAAAAAAGAGGCCCTCTGCAAAAAGGAGGCCCTCTGTAAAAAGGAGGCCCTCTGTAGAGAGCAGGCCCTCTGTAAAGAGGAAACCGTCTGAAATCAGAAGGCCCTTTGAAGAGAGGAGGCCCTCTGTAGAGAGGAGATCGTCTGAAGAGAGGAGACCCTCTGTAGAGGAGGACTCCCTCAGTAGAAAGAGGTCCTCTGTAGGTAGGAGGCCCTCTGTAGAGTGAAGGCCCTCTGAAGAGAGGAGGCCCTTTGCAGAGATGAGGTCCTCTGTATAGAGGAGGTCCTGTAGAGACGAGTCTCTTTGAAGAGAGGAGGCCCTATAGATAGGAAGCCCTCTATAGAGAGGAGGTCCCTGTAGAGACTAGAGGGAGGCCCTCTGTAGAGAGGATGCCCTCTGTAAAGGAGGCCCTCTGGAGAGAAAGACACCCTCAGCAGAGAGGAGGCCCTCTGTAGATAAGAGGCAATTTGTAGAGAGGAGCCCTCTGTAGATAAGAGGCCCTCTGTGGGCAGGAGGCCCCCGCTAATAAAAGACAGCGTCGTATATTAAGTACATAGAGTGGAT